AAGGTGTCTTCACAGTCCGTTGGGGATCTAGAACAATTGTCATAGACCTTGTGATCCTGCGCATCCTCGGGTTGAGCCACGGGGATAGCAGCCTGTCAATGAACCAGACCCGATAAGTAAGATCAACGAGGGGCGCTGTACGGGAATGTGCACTGTTAGGAGGCTGTAAAGGACCGCTGTCCAACTTCTATACGAATCGAACCACGCGCCCACGACTGGAGAAAATATCATCTTGCACTAGTACATAAAATCATACAACCCTTGGTTTTTCCAAGCGTCTTCTTACAATACATCCACTCTCGCCTGTCGAAGGGTACTGCTAGTGGCAATGGACTTTATCGAGATCTGCGAGGTGTTCGGGGGATCCATACTTCCGGACGAGTTTCGTGGTAACTATGAGGACGCGGACCGTCATATCGCGGCTCTTGAGCAAGAGATTATCGCAGGACCAAGTTCAACAACTGCGAGAGCGAGAACGACCCTTCTCCGAGCCATTTACTACACGCTTTCAGGAGACTTCAGGAGGGCTTATGAATATATACATACCCTTCGAGGCTTGCAACATCGAGGGCTAGAGCGGATTTGGGTACTCCGTGGGCAATTGTACGAATTTTACGCTGCCATGCTGGAGCATCGACCAACAGCTATTGCGTTTGCGATGATCCCTGGGGATCCCTACGCAAGGTTGTGGAAGGACGATTCTGAATTGGTGACTCTGCACGTACAGGCCAGAGAGGCTGGACGAGCCATATGTGTTGCCGAATGTACAACCGTGGTCGAGAGACTAGAACAGGTCGTGATTCTGGACGTATGGTCTTTCCTGGATACTTTGTACTTTTCCTACCTTGAACACCGTGATTTCACACCACATGTTACCGCGGAGTCTCTACCACAAGGCCAGGAACGGAACCTGAGTTTCCTGAATTTCCCAGTTCCATATTTGTCCAGTACCCTGGCAAGCGACATGAGTCATGCAGGGAATTCAACGTTCCAGAATCTCTTGCAGAGAATGTCCAACGATATTGAATGGGCGAAGGGAGCCTCAAGTGGTCAACAGGGGTTTTCCCACCTCCAAGCCGAATATGAAAATGCTCTGGACTATGCGGGGCTGGGCCTTTGCAAAATAAATGAAGGCGATCGCATACTATCACCCTCATACACGAGTCCTGTAGCGTTTAATTTGATGTGTGAGTTGCGCGACAATGGGTGGGAAAATATGGCATGGGACTCATTAGAGTCAACGTTTCGATTGGAGGATAACGAGCAGGCTCATAGGCGCTATGATGAAGCTCTTCTTTATATGGAGGCTTCGTGTGCCCCAAGAGGTCAAGCCGCTGTCTACCTGCGCAGGGGGTGCGTGAATCATGCAGCAGGAATCCGATCTAAGGCGGGACCTGACTGCGCCCAGTTCAAACAAGCTGAGGAAAATTTCACAACAGCACTCAGCCTTTTCGCCAACGACACTTTTAATCAACAGCTGGTTACCTGTCATCTCGCTTTACTTAACTGTAGCCGTGGACAGACTGAATCCGCTGTGGAGATAGCAAGACACCTAGGGATCGAGTTGCGCGAAGCGCAAAGCTCCAAACTCTCCCACTTCCTTGGGACATTGATACTCCGATTTGCTCACTTCCAGTTCGTGCAGCACAAGAACACTAGGGTGGCTACTGCTTGTTGTGAATGTGCCGCTGTCTACCACGAGGCATTGGAGAGTCCTCTAGGTTCCCTTTTTACAGCGGAGGCATTTATTACACTGTTCAGGCAAACACATAACTGGACGCGCGCGCAAGCAAAGGTCACAGAGAGCATAAAGCCCTCTGGAGTTATACACCGCGCATTCGCATACCTCGACGACAGTGTGTCCCACAAAGTCGACCTTCACAACCTCCGTAACTCAAGGAATTCGCTCCTCCTCGAGTTCGACAGGTTGGTCCAATCCGTCTGTTCGATGACTGGCGATGAGAATCTACGTTCGCAGTGGGAGGAAGTACGCCGGGGCCTTCAGCCAAATGAGCCACAGGGGAGTTCTGATTTCATTGACCTTGCGCCTTTGAGTGACGAGGCGAAGCAGCATCTTAATGACCCAGAACTTGGGTCAATGGAAACCGAGATGATGTACTTCTGCCAAACGTTTGAGGCGCGAAAAAGGTTCAATGCGGGTTACGCCCAAGCCATTGGGGGTTCCTTCAAGGCGATCGGATTGGGGGACATGGACGCCGCCGATGCCCAACTCGAAGCTTTTGTCTCGACCTGCGACTCGGAGAGCACTCTCAAAATAAGGGAGGTGCTCGACTACATGATCCCGGCCCTAGCACAACTTGATCGGGTGGATGAAATGAGACAGGCTCTTCCACATTATCTTTCGGACTGGTTCGTTAGAGGCGGGGTAGAGGACATTCGTCTGGTCTGCGATCGTAAAGGAGTCACCAGTGATGTTCGGGAACACGCGATTAAAGTTCGTAGGGATACTGCCGAGCAGGACATATCCATGTGCTTCATGGCCCAGGCTTGGGATAAGGGACCTAGGATACTGCGGAATATCGCCACCGTGCTCCCCGACTTTTTCTATAAAGCAAGGACACAGCCAAAGCCAGACACCTGGCAACTGCTCACCTTCATCGGTGCTTTTTATGAGCGGGCTTCGAAGCTCGACAAAGCGATTGAGAATTATCTAGACGGTCTACACCAGGTCGAGAATCTGAGATCTATGATTCCAAACCCCGACGACCGGCGCAAAGCTTACTCGACGCAGCACACTGCAGAGTTATTCTGCGGGCTGGCTCGAACATCAGTCGCCCTCTCGAGGCGGACTGATGCAAAACATCCAGATGAGTACCGCCTGCCGACATCCTCTTGGCTAGATCAGGCGCTCATCTTCCTTGAGCGCGGCCGGGCAAGAACGTTACTCGATATACTACAGGCACATGATTTTGCGGGTGTGGAGAGCCTTCAAGCGTCGATGGAAGAGTTATACCGAAATCGCCTGCTGTCAACATTAATCCATTCACAGTCTAGGCCTGGGGATGAGCAGAACCTTTTGACGAGGGCACGGGATGTTGCAGAGAAGCTCGGAATATCCGCAGATACATTCGATCCGGTTGGAGAGGCTCTTAAAGGGAGGGACGAGACCATAGCACAGATCTTCAAAAACACCATGTTCGTCCCAGATGTGGATGGACTTCTTCGCTCAATTCCTGCGAACGCGATCGTCATAGAAGTTGGCATTTGTATGAGTGGCACAATTGCCCTGTGCATCTCATCGTCAGGCATCCAATCCGTGCACCAGTCTGACCTCGGAACATTCGCATTACGCAGATTAGTTGTTGGCTATCTTGGAAAGATATTAGCCTTCCAAAAGGACCCAACGCCCCCTGAGGCGGCCAATCTGAAGGAGGGTCTTGATGATATCGCGGCTAGGATATCTACCCAGCTGATTGAACCTTTTGCTGAACATATTCGTGGCAGCAATACTGTCATTTTTGTGCCTACTTCATATCTGAACGTCTTTCCTCTGGGTGCATTGATGCTAGACGGCGAGCCCCTGGTCCTAACAAAACCGTTCTACCAGGTACCGAGTTTGGCTGTTCTGCAACGGATTTCTGAAAAGGCAGCCAAATCCCAGCCGGGGACCACGATTTGCGCGGTAGCAGACTGTGATAAAGCCAACCCGATAGTTTATGTTGGTCCTGAAGTGGTCTCAGTCTGCAGTGCCTTTGGCGTAGAACCGGTCACGAGCGACCAGTTCCCGCAAGCCATGAAAGCAGCTGAGCTCATCCATATAGCAGCTCATGGTACAGAAAATTACTCCTCTCCCTGGGAATCCACAATCCTCGGCGACACGTTTCGTGTCCTCGACATGGCCACAAAGGATTGCAGCGCCTCGCTGGTGGTATTCAGCTGCTGCCTCAGCGGCAAAGGCGAGATCAACGCCGGTGACGACCTTGTGGGGTTCGCACATGCTGTACTTCAATCCGGGGCCCGGGCATTTCTTGGGGGCTTATGGAGAGTCTGCGACGAACTAGCCATGCTCTTGATGCATCTATTTTACAAGATACTATCAAGACACAGAAATGCCCCTCCAGGCGCTGAGATATATGTGGCAAACGCCTGGCACCAGGCCGTCCGAGCTTTTTACCGGCTGGACGAACGAAACGCACTTGCACTAGTTGATGAACTGGAGAACCTATGGCGAGCCACCAAGGACATAAGTGCCAGGCCGGACGGTGATTATGGCAAACTAAAGTTTCATTTGAACCAATTACGGGCGATGATAACGCAAGGGAAAGTGGACTTTACCTCTCCTCGCAATTGGGCTCCCTTTGCTCTGGTTGGATGTGGGAATGTCAAGATTGTGGGATCAGCTCCAGACGCAGAAGATAATGGACTCGTTTACGGCCCCGGTGAAGTATTTTAATACGCTAAATTCCTTGGTGACTCTCGGGCAGAATCAAAAGTTTCATGGCGAGGGTCAGCACAATTGCTGTTCCTTTGCTCGGTTGGAATGAAAGGTCTGCGTTGCAAAAGTGATTACTACGTCCTGTCATATTGCATATTCTATCGGTGAATACCTCCAGTTCTCTCCATGTCCTACGCCCTTCTTGCTTGCTCATACGTGTAGAGTTGGTTCACAATCTGCGATATCTCCGTACTTATAATTCAATTGTGGCGAACGATGACGGAGCACGATAGTAGCATTCAAGCAGTCCATGGTACCATTGCTCCTGTAAGATCTATCAAGGGCCATCGGCATGGAGGCTGAGCCCTCGCTCCAGTACATTTTCGTACCGTCGATTGGCTCTTACCGCCGCTATGTACGAATACAGCTTCAACCGATCTGTGAACAATGTCCAGGACCAAAGCACTTTGGGCATCGTTATATTACCGACTTGATGTATGGCATTCCTGTTTGCTTCATAATAGAATTTCATTAATTTCTTGCTAGGTAATGTTCGAATAAACATATCTCACAGGCATATTGCAGTAAGAATACAGGCAGGTAGCTATCGCAGATATCCACTCACCCAGACCCCAGGCGACATACTAGCCATCGTCATATCATGCCTCCAAGCTCCCATCCTATTCAGTTCTTCCAGATATATGCCCAACTCCTCGTTGAAATCCCTCGTCATCTCCGCCTCTCTCGACCACGTCTCCGAATCCCTCTCCCTGGGCATTGAATCCCTAGGAATGGGCACTGACGGAAACCGCCGACCAGTCATGGAATCCACCAAATCACCTCCGTGGGCGGCCAGAAACGCATTGAATCTTTGGTACTGTATCTCGGGATCCCCCAACGTATCTCTCAACATTACCAGATGAAATCCGTCTCTGGTCATTACTGGGGTTTGGCCATTCATTACGTGTTGTATGTCATGGGTGCGGTAAAATATTGTCAAGGCTTGATACGCAAATTGCTCAGGGGCGGGCATGTGATTCTCTGAGGCAAACATGTAGTAACGGCGACTGAGGTTGTTGTTGTCGGAGTAGAAGAGGGCTGTGAAGACAGAAGCATATTTGACGGGATCAAAACCCCTGGAGTCGACTGGTGGGGTGTTGGTGAAGTAGATGAATATTGCATCTAGGAGCCGGGTGAACAGAGGGGTAGGTTGTTTGGAGTCTGTAATTAGAGGGCCCCAGCCCTGGTGCGCGGCTGGTTCATCTGCATGCCTGAAGAAGTGTCCGAATGGCATTGCTGTTGAGATCTTGAGGGACGTCAACACATCAAGTTTGCTGGGCGATTCCTGCGGATGAACAGGCCTTTTATGGGTCTATACTCCCTGAATATCTACGGGATAGCTGTTCTGGCGATCATCTGGAGACATGAATCCAGACCAGCCTCGACGGGGTCCAGATGACCGGTCGTATGCTTTTGACTGAAGGTTCCACGGTACTGATTCCGGGTTGAACTTTGCAGGAACCAGATAGCTTCGGGAAACAAAGAAATCTGGCAGGAGGCGGTGCGAACCATAGATGAGGGCCTGTGGCTGGAATTCAGCACAGATGATGATCCTTGGGTGGCTAAAACGCCTTTGATCGACATCTGTCAGTGGTAAGCTGCATTCTGTACTACATAACAAAGTTCAGAGTCCTAGCGAGCAACATTTGGAGCCGAAAACGGCATAATCCAAGGAATAGCAACTGTGGGGTTAAAAGCACTGACGCAGTTTTAGAACAAATGCAGCAAATGTTTAACCTTGGCGATTGTTGCTGTGCCTGGGCTTTCGCCACTTTAATGATGTTGATGTTCTCAAATTCAAACCCGCTAGAAGAAATTAGTTCAGAAAGGAGACAGTCAGGCCTATGCTTACATGATACTTAAGCCATCATTGGCTTCGAAAACTCTGAAGTCGGGGTCAGCTGCCTGTGGGAACTGGCTCTGGGGTGCAACAACATAGTTGCTCGATGCTAAGCCTGCCTGGCTGCTGTCATGCAAGCTTTCCATATTCTCAATTTATGTCTGTGTAATCGAAATCAAGTTAGATATTGTTATATTGTCTAAGAAAATGACACTAACTGTTCCCCTTGTCTATTAGTAGATTAATTAGAAGGTTCTTAATTTCCTGCTCTGGTACAAGGTGGTGCTCTTTCGGGCCATTGCAAAAGCTTTGAAGCTCTGTAGACCCAGTATTGACCAAGTACTCAAGTTGTTTTGTAAGGACTTGAAGCAGTGCCACCTGGTTGGGATCCGTAAGAATAAGATTTATCGTGCTATCAAGTTTATCGCGAGGCGATTTAAGAAGATCCTTGTTATTTATATCAAGACAGAGTACCTACCAAATCCTTGAACTAAACAGAATTCCAAGGCCGAGACGCTTAGCAGTCTGCTACGCAGCTCACCTTCCCTTGTGAAGTTGGAGCCAGATACGCAGCCGCTGAGCTTTCTGTAACTTGCTTGAGACATGATTTAGAAGTGGTTTTGATTGGTCGATGCTTTTTTGTGAGGGTGGACTCTTGGGCGATTGATACCTGCTTATCAAACCATTCTAAAGCCCCAATGTACTTAAGAAGGATGAAGATTACGTATCTATGCGCCTTTGAAAAAAGACGTCTCAATGATACCCCTCCAAGATGTGTTATTGGACCATTGAATTTGAAGGTCTTTCTGAACCGACCGTACTATCTCTGCATAAAAGCGGCGACATCTGAAACAGGAAGTCGAACCGCCGCCGGCGAAGAACATATCATATATACACAGAGGTAATCACACTTTACTCTGTACAGGTCACGGCGACGATAGATTGCTTTAACTCGCGATACAATGGTATGGTATACAATGGTATGATTAAGACAGCACAGACGAGAAGGGGAAGAGATTGAACGCGCCACCGAGCGGGAAAACGTCGGAGCAACGTATGTCATCTAACTTAGGGTGCGCTGGAGACGGAGAGCGAGCTCAGGGTCATGCTGCCGGCGCCTGTAGTAGACTTTGATGAGATTTTATGCCCAGCTGCTCCCAGTTGAATTTTCCATTGTGTGATAGTGGAGATACATTGTATGTACACAACACATGCTATTCACAAGGCGGTTAAGGAGCATCCTACGGCCACGAACAAACTTATCTCTAGCACTGAGGTCTAAATCCCTCACTGCCCCGGTCTACCCGTCCGCATAAACACATTCGACGGCCGCTCGCGATCCCGAAACTCCTCATCCACCTCATACACAAACTCTCCGCCATCCTGCTCGAACCCCAGCTTGCGGTAAACATGCCGCCCCATGCTCGATGCCTCCAGCACAGCCTCCAGCCCACCGCGCTCCCGCGCCTCGCGGAGCCCCCACTCCACCAACTTCGTCGCGACCCCCCGCCGCTGGAACGCAGGGTCCACAGCACATAGATCCAGCACCAGCACCGCGGGGGAGTCCGTGCCCGCAATCTCGCGGACGTACTCGATGCGACGGCGCTGCAGCCCGAACACCACCTGGCGCAGATACTGTTGCTCGGCCGGGTTTCCGGGGATCAAGGCTTCCAGGTCCATCGTCTCACCGATGTCGACAACAGGAGCGTCCCCGTATCCGGCCACCTGGGACGCTTGGACCCAGATCGCCACGCCGGCAATTTTCTCGTCGCCTGCGGCGCTACCTTCTGGGCGTGGGACAACGGCCTTGAGAAAGATGGTGTTGGGACGGCCGTGTCGGTCGGTTGTGGTGGACGACCAGCGGGCTGCGAAGCGGGCGCTGCCGCTCTTTTGGCCCTCCGGCGTGTCCCAGCCGGGGTTCATGGCGCACCAGACGCCGTCGTTGACCTGGTGGCCGAAGGCGAGGGCGGTGATTTGGAACAAGCGGTCGAAGTCGGCTGGGTCCGTGATGGGCTCCACCCGGAGCACGTCCCGGGTTGACTCCGCGTTTGAGCTCATGGTGATAGCCGTTGATCCGGTTGATGCGGGGAGGGGAGGGGAACTTGGGGGGACTGATAAGATAGATAAGGGAAGAGGGGTTTTTGGCGAGAATAGTATATCAATGTCTGAGATAGACAGTGATACTTAAATGTAGATATAGGCGGGAAATAGAGCCACGTCACCAAATTCGTTCATCAATTCCGTATGAGCTTACAAATCACATGCCGAACAAAGTTAGTCGAGCTGGAATTTACTCCTTGGCATTTTGGGCCTGGTATCCCTCGCTCGACAGCAGTGGCATGATATGGCAGTTCATCTAACATTGGAAACTGTTCAACAACCCCCGGGCTACTTGCATTGTAATTGCCCACCAATACCCTCACGCAACGTGCCATTCTTCAGTGCGCTGAGACCGGTACACGATCTTATGAAAGCCTCGAGTCTCATCCAAGCAATACATACACTCTTCTCATTCATCTCAGAGCAGTTCACACTCACACCATGAATTCGGATTTGATCTTAACGAGCAGAGCAATTGACAAAAGCCATCCTCATAGTGGCGGATCACGCCACAGAAACGCGCTCTCGCAGTCTTGCCTGTGCCAGTATACTCGAAGATCAACCGATCGGGCAATTTCTTGACATCACCGCCGCTGTAGACCCGTGCGGGATTCTCGCGGTCCAGAGCGAACTCCTGCTTGCCGGCGCCGCACTCGAAAGGTAGCTTGTCGTGGTTGGCGAAGTTGTGGGGGTACTTGTCTGCACAACGTCGTTAGCTCGGGCGTTCAAACCTTTCTCTGAGAATTCAAGGGGGAGGGAGGGGTAATGGTCGTAGCTCCGTACTCTTTCCAAGCTGTTTACCCTCGTTGGCATACTTGGCAGCGTCAATGTATGCCTTCGTCAGCTGCCCGGAGGTGTAGGTGGTCTCCGTATACGCGTCGGTCTTGGGGCAGGTGTAGCTCTTGCTGGGGAAATCCGCCGTCGCCAGTTTTGGGGCTGTCTTGCCGCGCTTGTCAAGCTCGTCGGAAATGTAGTCCGGTTGTTCGGGAAGAGCCTCGACAGGCATCGTGCCACGGGAATGGAGGTCGACGAGCGGGCTGGCCGAGAACAGCTTGGCTCATAATTGCCCCGGCCAGCAGTATGTGTAGAACAAGGGCTTTCATCATGTAGCTCATTCTTGCGGCTCTGTTGTGGGGTATCAAGTAAGAAATGAGATTGGAGGCTATAGGCTCGACTCTTGCTCGATTTAATCTCTGAATGGGTGTAGATTCTTGACTACGACGTGACATTGGTTTCTCTTTATAGATTTCAGTCTTTGAGTATAATCTATCTCATGTTGGTGTCCTAATTCATGTCTGCTGTGAAGCTGTTTCACGGTAGACCAGATTGTGATGATAATTGGGCCTAAACACTGGTGTCCAGGCGTGAGTATACCAGGATTATGGGGTCGGTGTTTGCTCTGTGATTCGAAATAGTCGAGTTCATAATATTGAGGGGAGGTTTGCCTTGTTCAAAGGGTGAATTGCTGAAATAGTAAGATTGAGATTGACGTGCACTTGGTATTTGGGGAAAGAGGTCTCTGTTGGATCTCTGCCAAGGACTTTTGTCTCTTTTCCCCTTTCCTGCGTTCGTAGCTATTTACTTTTGTCTCTGTATGTTCCCGAAGCTGGACCCCGAATGCTGTGAAATGCCGTGGGAGGGTAAGGGCCCAATGAAGGAACGATTGGCATCATCGATAAACCAATCTAGGAGCATCATATCATGTTAGCTCTGTGTACAAGCTACGATAGTGCTTACTCGCACAATTAAGGTAATGGGGCGCAATCGGGGGCTGAGTTGTATCAAGCCCCCAACAAGCAAACAGAGAATTGACAGGGTCCGGGGTCGTAGCCCTTCATCGGCGCCGTTGAGCGTTTCCCCGAGCACTGCGACCGATTTGTGGAGTTTCTCATCGCCCTGAATGAGCTCCCCAACTGCGATGGAGAGTTCAAATGGCTGGAGGGGTTCTCCATGCATCTGTGCGAGTTCACTTACGACTGTAAGCTGTTACTCCTATTCCCATATATCGAGTCGCTGTTTCAAGCGATCCCTTTCCCATTTGACGGAAACTGAGACAGTAACAGATGTGCATCACTGCTTCAACACGACCACCCGCGAGACCGAGCGACAACGCTTCCTGAACGCGAATGTCTTCACCGTTAAATTCTACCAGCGTCTGCCCCGCCCCAACCGCTTCGGGTTTCTGATCAATCACGGCGCGTGGGTGCTACGCAGAACCTTGGAGCACGCCCCCTTTGAGAAATGCCATCATCCGCACATCGAGAACACCATCCAAGATTGTGACGAGGACGAGGAGGACTTCTACAACATGAAGCGCGACGAGGCGCTCGAGATTATCGACGTCAGGGCGCTGAATGGATTCGTGCCGGCGGCAGCTGTGTGGCTTGAATGATGTGGGAAGGAGATCTATGGGAAGCAGGGGTCCCTGGGACGGGAGATCCGGGCCTATGATAAGTGGCAGGGGTCGGAGGGCTGGTCGAAGGAGCGCTGGGCATTCTGGAAGGAGAGGTTTATCTGGATATCTACGGTTACGGCCTTGGATCGGAAGACGAGACGCATTGCAAAGGATGTGGTCGAACTGATGGGCAGGGTTGAGCAGGGGGACGATGGGGTACTGTGAATAATGGGATCTGCTTACCGTGACGCCAGCTTCTACATGTCTGACGAGAGTGATTCAAAATAGACGTTCCTGCTATGCGAAAGCATTAATCGGCGGTATCAAGTAAAGCAGTATATTCTTTGTGAGTCCGTCGGAGACCGCGAACGCCTTCAATATAGTTTAATTCGAATGTCCGGGATGAGTGGCGGCTGATAGCCAGTTGTGATGGGGGTTTGATGGACTAAGTATGTGGCAGGTGGATTAACATGGTCATCATATAGTCACCCAGTTGTGACATGATAGGTAGGACTTTTCCCACAGGGAGTTAGTCAATTTGTGCAAGTCCCAACTGAGTCTATAGATATATAGTTAGTGCCAGCTTCGCACATTACGGTCCGGAAACCAGCCCCGGTTCTTAGAATTCATCTTCTCATCTAATTGATACGTATAGCATAGGCAGACAGAGAGGATAACGATATTAAGCCATGAAACTGAAGCCAGGTGATGCTACTTGAAACATTTCACATGGTTGAAAGCGGACAAGATGGCAATAATGTCGCTGACAAGGTATGCAGTTTGATCATATGGGCGTCTTGCCAGCCAGACAGCATCACCCGCTCGCATGGCTTAGATGGTAAAGCGCAGCACTAGTAATGCTGAGATCCTCGGTTCGAGTCCGAGTGTGAGCAATAGTACTTTTTTTTCTTGACGCCGGAGGGGCCTGCGACGCCCCTCTCTTGCGTCTATTTTTGCTACCTTGTCAACTATGCGGGGTGAGCTACGACTTGCGGAGGGAAATATAATTTGCAGCCGATTGATCAAGTGATGTGGATTTCAGTCATTGACAAGAGTTCACAACAATGTGTCTTCCAAGTTGCTGGGTGTAGATTGTCCGTTACTGTCTTTAGGCGGAATTGATATGCCCCCTTAATTTTTCGTTGGTCTCCTACTCTTCTTTCTAGCCAATGAGCAGACCGCGACCCACCATGCTCCACAACCACCAGCAACGAAATCGATCACAAGCAGCAAAACCAAAAAGATGGAGCTGCGGGGAATCGAACCCCGGACCTCTCCCATGCTAAGGGAATATTATACCACTAAACCACAGCCCCAATTGTTGGAATGCCGTTCAGGATTACGCATCAAGGGCGAACAACATTGCTCCCCTAGCATCGTCCCCTGCCGTGCTCTCGTAGCCAGCCCTCCCAGTTGGATAAGAGTCATTGACATACAGGTGGTCTCAGTCTTGGTGCATCCTTACAAAAGTCCAATACCACACCGCTTGATGATCTCCCCGAGCACTACATGCCCCACTGTATAAGGAACGGTCAGAGGAATCTTCAGGTGGTACTCAATACTGGAGTTGATCCGTCCACGGACAAATATATCATGCACCCTTCGGAAGGGAGACAAGAGCAACCTTGTTCTGACAGATGCGAGTCGAAATATCTTCTCTAGCCCGAGCTGCTCTAGGCTTCACTACAGCTGCTGATAATAGCCGTTTAGGGTTCCAGCGTAGCTTATATTATATCCTATTTAGATACGGCCCTGTTGCAGCCAATTCCTCTTGTGGTCAGTTCGGTGTCAATGTCTGAGGTACTAGCCGTTTCTGCAGATCGTCTGGTTGGTAGTTGAGAGAGTAGCCACTAGTAAAACTTTTGAGAATAGTGTCCTTGAACAGTGAGGGTGTTTATGTCTCTACACTATCCTGATATTGTAGCCGAACACGTCCTACTTCAAATATTGGCCACGGCCGATTTTGCGTCAGAGGTGAAAAGCCCCAGGAAGCGACCGCCGGGGTGAGCCTTTGACATACATTCGCGACCCGGAAAAGAATGCAAATAACTCCTTAAATCGATCCATGCTCGAGTAATCCCGTGGGAGTCTGCTTTCAAAGCAATGCCCTGGGTTTCGAACACTCGTGCTCCTGCCAAGTTCTCAGGGGAACTGCTCTCTGCGAGGATGCGGGGCTATACGATCTGAACGCTGGGTAAAGGTGATGTTGAGCTTCAATAGCGTTCATGATAGACGTCCACACAATTGGTCTCAAAATGCCTAGGATCCGTGAAAACTCTTGTTCTCCCTAGGAATGTCTACCTGACCCTGGAAACCCTCGCCATGTCCATCTTAGCGCAGAGCTGATCACGGGTGATCGCGCGATCGGCACGGTGAAGCCTAGCAGAAGCGCCTTTACTGCCTCTTTCAACTGGGCACCGAATCTGAGCCATGGATTGAGCACCCAGACTAGATATGAGCAGTCCCACCTATTGATGGAGTGCCACATTCATTGCGGTCTTTGCTGCGGGCTGCTTCGATCATCAGAGCATGATGTAAACCGGCTGATATTATACCCTCGAAATACCACCCCCGCATCCCGGGCCGTCCAGAAAGCCCGGATAGCCCCTTGGATGAATAGACCATACGCCCGTGAGCAGCAGACCAGCTCTGGAACCTGCGACAGCCACCCGTCTCGTTCCGTCTCGGTCGTCAGCTCGACGCAGGCCACCAGGACGGGCAGCATGGCGAATTTGACCGCCTTCCCTGTTACGGACAGTGTGGTTTGCAACTGCGTGAGGATTGAGATGGCGATCGCTCGCGCAGGTGCGTCATGCATCCCGAAGGGGATCTTCAGACGGTAGATCAGCAGAAGCGCGCACAGACGCATCGCCTGCACCTGGCAGAAGATGTGTGCGATCTCGACCGCCGAGAACATCGAGCAGAGATTTTCAGGGACATCGGGCTGCCATGCGAGGACTGTCGACTCCAGCCCGTCGAGATCCCGCGATGCCATAGGGTTGACGGCGACATTGGGACCGACAGCATCCGAGAGTGATGAATTCAGCTCCCCGACCCGGTGAAGCAGCTGCAGGAGGGATGTCGACAGCCCCAGGTAGCGATCCACATACACCGGAGACTTCGGGGGGCGGAACCTCAGCGCCGGCACGGCGCCATGGATCAGACTGCCCACCATCTCCAGCATCATCGTGCCCGTCAGGAAGAAGAAGTCCTCCGGGTCGGGCCCGTCGATGGTGTCGTACACGGGGCGGACCAGGACCAACGTCTGCCGGCACAGCGTGAAGACGTTCTCGGGTCGCTGGAACATGGCGAAGAGCATGATGTTGGTGCCCAGGACGAGACACGTGGATGCTTGCTGGCGATCCGTGACGTGGAGTTCGCGCAGGCTCCGCAGCGCGGTGGAGGCGTGCCGGTAGACCGTGGACAGCCCATCTGCAGGCTGGCTGGTGTGGAGGCTGTTCTCCGCCGAGTATGTCGCGGAGAGCACGGACGCCAGGTAGGCATGCTCGAGAACGGACTGCGAGTGCTCCAGATGCGTCATCAGCGCTGCGCAGTGGCGCGGCCAGAAGGCGGGGCCCAGGAGAAAGCGGTCAAAGGTCTCATAGTTGGACATCCAGTGGTAGATCAGATTGATCTGCCCGGCCGACGGAAAAGCTCTCGGCAGTAAGCTGGTGCTTTTGGTGTTTGGGCGATTGGCCTGCAGTGCTGCGGCGGACAGAACCCGTCGACCGGGCTTTTTGGCCTGGCGGGTCTTGCTGCAGGTGAAGCCGAGGCGGGAGCATCGCATGCACTGGCTCGAGCCTTCCACCCAGGAACACCGCTCCTTGATACTGTAGCATCGATCACAAGATTGATTGCATGCGCGCGGCATTGCTATCGATGCATTGCGCCTTTTTGTAAGAGTTCTTGCAAGTCAATTTGTGGTTGTGGTTGGTTTCCGAGAATGCACTGGAAAGAATTAGTAAGTCTTCTTTGGTCACGTGCCTGGCCACATTCTGTGAATTCTGGGCTGCTGGACACCCAAGAAGATCATCATTATGACATTTGAATTGGCTCATTTAGTTTGCAATTTTTGTGCAGGGGAGTTTCTTTGTACCTCTGTCAAATCTAAGAAGTGGCTATCTAGAGTATATATGCAGCATGCAATCACCAGGCGTGTTACCGCCCATCGAATCGTCATATTTGATGATGGATGGATTCTGACTACGTCAGGCTATCTATGAGAAACTAGCCGAGGACACCGAGGTGGACGGTTCGCTGGCAGTCTCAGGCAAGGCTCCCCGGGCCCGCCGTCAATAGCCCTAGGCCTTATACCATAATCTTCACATTTCAAACCGTCTACCCAGTCAACCCACCACTATGTAGCTCCAGATCTAGAACACGATCTATTTCGAACACACTGTCTTCTAGTCTACCACCAGGCCCCCATCCTAATCAAGCTTAAACCCCCGATCCAGCAGCACCTGCCGCATTCTCTCGCGTCCATCCAACTCCCCGAACGCCAACATGCCCGCAACGAACTTGGCCCAGCTATGCCGACCGAACAACTGATGCCACTCGTAGAACGCCCCCAAGCTCGCATTATACTGCTCCACATCCTCCCTCTGATGGCTATCATCCCACTTCTCACGGTGCAGCACCTCCCGCATCGGCAGCCGCGGCTTGATATCCGGGGCGTGCGCCGCCAGATCCGGCCAGCCCACCGCCATGCCAAACAGCACGACGGCCCGCGGGGGCAGCGCCAGCAATTCGCACAGCTCCGTGGCGTTGTTGCGCGCCCCGCCCACGTAGCAGATGCCCAGCCCCAGCGACTCGGCCGCCAGCGCCACGTTCTGCGCCGCCACGGCCGCGTCGATCGTCGACAGAATGAACATGTCCGTCTTCTTCAGCGCCGTCGCGGGCTGGTCCTCCCATTTCGAGACGTTTGTGAGGCGGTTAAGGTCGGCGCAGAAGAAGAGCATGAGCGGCGCCTGGCGGATGAATTCCTGGTTGCCGCTGAGTTGCGCGGCGGCTGCCTTGTGGGAGGGGTCCTGGACTGCGATCACGCTCCAGGCTTGGAGCATAGAGGCGGTGGATGCGCTCTGGGCGGAGGCGACCAGGGTCTCGAGGGTGCCGTCGGGTAAGGGGGAGGGGAAAAAATGGCGGATCGATTTGTGGCGCCAGATGGTCGCGAGGACGGGGTTCGAGGCTTCCATGATGGTCGGCGTGGTGTCGTTGAGATACCGGGCTTGGAGGGCCTCGTTGGGTGTGCTCTTCGACACAGTCTCGGAAATGTCGCCCATGGCTCTCAGGGGTTGGTGATGATGCCTGGATGAATGGATCGAGTGATTGGTTTTGCTCACGATCCCTAACGGGGTACCATCCGGCTATATATGGCACACCCGCGGCCTATTCGCCCCTTGCGCGGCCGTTACCAGCCAGAGAATTGAGTTGATTCATAAGCCTTAGGGATTGAACAAAAATTCAAACCCCCCCCCCCCCTTTGCAGTTCGACGAAGTTGATATGGATGATGGCCTACCAATGGAGAAAGCGGCAATCGACCGGCTTATGCGCACGCACACATTGCCACCCTTGGGACGAATGAGAGTGCTAGAAACCGCCCGGCTTGGCAGGCGGAAGTCTCCACCGGGGCTGGCTCCCGAATGGCGGCCGTATGCGCACGGCTGCTGGGATATACCTAATAAGTAGCTATGAAGGTCACTGAGGCATCGTATTGTCTGTGACTGACATTTGCCTGCTGGCGGAAACAGTGAATCTTCCCAGATCCAATTGGTACTGCTCCAGCTCAGCATGATTCACCGGAGGGGTATTTCCCCAAGTTATTCACCTTCCGTACTCTGTGGATCGATAGCATAATATCGCTACGACACTGATGTCTCTCTCTCCCACCACTACCTCACCCAAGCCTCCGTTCAGCTACATCACCACTGCTTACACCACAAAATATGGGAAACAACCCCTAGCTCCTTTGATTATTGTCAGTCTTACGAAATTCCTTTCCTTCCCACACCATCTCCAACCCTTTGAAATGGAGAAAAGACCACACCTCAGTGGGAAAGGAAGGCAGAGGGTGAGGTCGGTCTCCACTCGCCGAAAATCGTAAGATCGATCCGGTCACCACATGGCCACGAAATACTGTAACGACTTTGTTATGATACACCCATTTGCCGATGGGAATGGACGCATGCGCCACTTGATATTAAATGCGATTCTACTCAAGTATGCTGGCATCGTGATCTCTCTGGGTGAACATGAGAGTCGGCGCCAGTATCTTGATATTCAGTGGCGATCTGGCGAACATATGGAGGGCTCAGGAGAGCTGGCATCCCTGATACTCAGGAAATCGATCCCGCGATACCGAACGCTCAAGCAGACAATTACCAGGGAAAAAGAGAATCCCTGAAAGCGGACACTTTGAGCCCTTAGTGTTGGCGATAAAATTGACTTGGGTAAGTCTTGTGCACTGGGACTGCCTCGAGAGCCCAATACATCCATTATCTCTGGCTCCCAATTGAGCTATCGAGGTTGCTGACTTGGTGTACTTGCTCGAGACACAGATATCGCCGTCTCCATGTGATGAGTGTGGAAATAGCCTGCTGCATAGGTGCTTTCTCCACTGCAGATTCTGCTTAGATATCACCCCGGATGGTGGACGTCCAGCTCGCAGACATGGTTTGCGGAAGGATTCTGGCGAACGAACGAGTGCGAGAATGCCGAGTTTGATTAGGAGATCGTGGTACAAGATCATCCCCTACGAGACTACCTGCCTGACACGCAAGAAGGGACAAAGACATGTATGTGGACAGAGAGGGGTGATTTGGGGAATATGGAACGTGACTTTGATTCTGATTCAGAGAGCAATGGGCCTTTCCAATGAAGATGCGGTATAGTACTGATAGGAGGAGGTATTTGTCGGCGGTCGTCCGGCCACGTGATCCGAGGCGATTCACCAAGCGAGTTGTCCACTGTAGCTTGAGATCCTAGCTAGTTCATCAACCAAGCAATCAATAAACCACCAAGAATTCCAGACATCGTTCCATATCGCCCATGCTACACATAACAAGAACGCGACACTTACGCTCCAAGCTTTTCTTTTTTTTACATTCAAGCCCCCTGATCTCACCGTTTAGAAGTGTCTGAGCTTTAAGCTGTGGATTTGACCTTGAGTATCACAAAGCTAGAAACATGCATAAACTGGCTCACCCAGGTAGAAAGGGTTCGCTTCGAAATTTGAGTTGATTACGTGCCACCCAGGCATTCCCCCGAAGACCATTCCCGCCTACTCATCATCGCGAATGTCCACGACCGTCCGCTTCCACTTGCGCGCCGGGACCCGACGCTTGAATAGGATGTCGATCTCGCGGAAGGACCGGTCCTTCATCTCGGGAATCCACTGCCACGCCATGGCGGTGCAGATGAAGGCCGTGCCCGCCCAGACGTAGCCGCTCTTGGCGCCCAGGTTCCACTTATCCGTGTTAAGCATGTAGCTGGAGAGGAAGATGCAAGGGATATTGATGAAGTAGTAGGCACCGCGGCCCACACCGGTGGTCAGGGGCCGGAGGCGGACGGAAGAGGTCTCGCCAATGATGACCCACGAGGACGGGGCGGGGCCCAAGCAGAACAGGACGGAGACGATCAAACCCAACGATGCTTGCGCGTTGCTCGCCGCCGTGCTCGCGCCACACGAGCCCGCAATCCCGAGCGCGACCAAGAATATACAGTTGATCGATTGGCCGTAGACGTAGATGGTGCGCCGGCCGAGGTAGGTGGTGAGGATCCACGAGAGCATGACCATGATCAACTGGAGGGCCGAAGTGATGAGACCCAGAGCAAATGCGGTTGTCTCGCCCATGCCAGCCTCTGTCATCTGGTGTTAGCCTACTAGGAGGTTGCGAGGGAATGGACGGGACTCACGTTTGAAGAAGTACACGGCTTGGTTCGCAATCAGATTGCCGGTCAGATTCTGAGATGCGTAGACACCACAGACGATCAAAGTGCGATAAAGATCGGTCCCCCGCACCAGTTCCACGAGAGTGGGCTTCTTCACCGTCTTCTCCAGCTCGATTGTGCGACGCATCATGGCGACTGCGTCAGCGGGGTTTTCCTCCACGCTGGCGCGTCCCAAGCGCTTGACAGCCTTCTCGGCGTCGGCCAGACGGCCCTGGCGTACGAGCCACCAGGGGGATTCGGGCGCAAAGTAGAGTAGGAGAGCCAGAGGAGTGGGGAACATCCACTGCAGTGCAATGGGAACTCTGAGAGAGATGGTCAGTACAGTACTCGCTCGAACTCATCGGTAGGAGCAGACAAACCTGTAGGCCGAGGAGTCATTCTTGGATTGGTAGTGGTAAGTGATACCGCCAACGATGATGGAGCCAATGGCCCAGAACATCTGCAACATCTGCGTCGCTGGCGCTCTCAGTCTCATCGGCACAATCTCGGCGCAGTAGGCGGGTGCATTGGCGATAAAGATGCCCCACGGGATGCCTTCCAGGATCTGAGCGGCGAAGAACATCCCCTGGCTGTTGCCGAAGTAAAAGATGAAGATGAAGGCGTTCAACGCCATGAGACCGCCAATTGTTGCCCATCGGTATCCGATCCAACTAGTAATGGGGCCTGCCACGAAGACCCCGATGAAGGCGCCCAGTGGTCCACTACACTGGAATGCTGACTGCCAGGAAGCCTCGATGATATAAACTCCTGAGACGTCGCTATATACCCCGAAGTCGTCGGCGAATTTCTGTGTGGCGATGAACTGTCCCATCAAGAAAACACAGTAGGACTCCATAATCTATGGCATCACAAGGTCAAGTGTTAGACAAGTGATCTGTATATTGGGGTATTGGGGGGAAGAGCTAACAATGGTGCATGACATGACGAAGGCCCAGGCGCTGGCAGCGGGATAAGCCTT